CAAAAAAAAAAAAAAAAAAAGATGCTCAACTTCATTAGTCATTAGGAAAATAGCAAGTGATTTTTGAGCCATGTAAATGCATTACCTATTTAATAAAACACACCAATATTTAATTATTTTTAAAAGAATTCATGAATATAGAGTACTTATTACGAAGATCAAAGCTCATGGCATGGGGTATGCATTTGTGTGTATGTGTTCACATGTGTATGTAAGTGGGTTTGGTCTGTGTACAATTCTGTTTTACTGCTTAAGGATTACTCTGGTTAAGAGAGACGTTTCCATATCAGCCAGACAACCATGAACAGGACACATGAAAGCCTTATAATCTCAATAAGGAAACCATGTCCCCAGCTCATCAGTGGGACTCAAAGTCACTTTTCTGAGCAACCCTCCAGTAATCTTCCTACCTTCTTCTCCTCCAAGGGAATGTAGTGCGGCAAGCTGGTCCCCAGCTGTCTAGGAATTAAGGACTGGAACTTGTTCTCTGTTTTATATATGGTCTTGGCCCCAGCAGGTTGGGATAGCCGATGGTCAATGAATGTGCAGTAATTCTTGATGTCCCAGATCTAGACACAAAGTATGGTGAGTGGCCCCACAGCCTCTAAACCTTATCCCCAACTCACTCCATGGGTTCCTCCTAAACCGTTCTTTTTCACTCTGAGGAAAGTTCTAATTCACACTTCTGAGACACCTACACAGTCAGGGCCAGAAGGGATCCTAAGGATCTTCTGGGCCAGACCCTTTGTGAGCAGGCAGAGCAAGCAGGACTGGCTCAAGAGCAAGACTATCCTGCTTCATGTACCACCACAGGCAGAGAATTGTTCCTGAGTCTGCTGTTCACAGAGTAGACGCACAGCTGCAGAAGGAGGAGGTCGAGGAAGATAATATGGAGCATGGGACCCACTAGGGGAAGTTTCTTCAAGGGGCCTTTGGAACCAAGCCTTTGCTAGTGTCACTGGCCATATCAGAGCAGGAGCGGACTTCTAAAGTAATCTATCCTACCATCCTGCCATGGTTTTACAAGTGAAACTAGCACCCAGGGGGAGTAAGAACTAGGCAAGAGACATGTGCAGCAAAAAGGTAGCCAGAGGCTTGCTGACGCCAGCCCTTCCATGTCAAGGCTGGTTCTTCCTTACCTTAATGTGTCCATTACAATCCCCCGTGATGAGGATCCAGTCATTTTCATCAGTGGCCATGGCACCCACCACAACAGACCCATCATTTTCAAAGTCGACGGGGAACTTCCCCAGCAGGCCTCCGTTCCCGTGGATGGACCAGGCATAGATGTAGCCATCAATGCAGCTGCTCAGCAGGGCAGCCGTGTTTGGCAGGCGAGGCCTGGTCTGCAGGAAGATTATCTGGGTGAGAGAGGCGGGCTCTGCTCAGCAGGGCTGCGAGCTGGGGCTCAGCCTGGCTCCTGTCACACACTGCGAGGGACCTGGGCAAGTTACCACACCGACCTGGCATGCCAGCTGCCTACGTGCCCAGTGAGAATGGTGTGGTGATACCACTCTTCCTACCCAACTAGTGACAAGGAACACATTTAGATGATGAGCTATTCAAGGGCAGTGATATCTGCTCTTTTTTGTTACTATTCACTGTATTACCCTCAACAACTTCCATGCTGCCTAACACATAGTACCTGATCAATAAATGCTTGTTGAATGAAGACATACAAGTCATATTTTTTCAAAGCTCAAACAAAATTTTTTTAAAACCTGTAACTCAACTCAAATAAATATGAAGAAGGAATTGATGCCCCTTGTTATATATTTACTGTGAAATATCCATATTTGTCAGCCAATTGCCAGGAAAGTGTTTTGAGCGAATTCTGGTTCAAGTCTTGCTTAGATTGTGCCCTTTGCTATTCCGACCCACGCCGCTCGCTTTCGCCTTATGGGTCACTGCCGTGGTCCGTGTGGGGCTCCACCATGGGAAGCTATGCTGCATAGACAGCACATAGAGGAGAGAGCTGCTTGCTGGCACCCTGCAAGGGGCTGAGAACAAATCAGGATGATAGGGGGAACTGGGGCTTCCTTCCTCACTCCTACTAAATCAGGACTTCACAGAATGATGGTTTATGCTTCCCCAAATGTGTTACCAATGATGGAAAAAAAAAAAAAATCTCAACCATTTTCATAGCCAGAGAAGTCTGAAACAAGATAATCAATCTGCTTCCCACTGGCCCAGGTGCCAGTGACAAGAAAGTCAGGAGTCCCTTACGCTTCAGACCCAAAGGCTTCACTGGTAAATTCTACTCATACGTAAGGAAGAACTAACAGCGATCCTTCTCAAACTTGTCCAAAAAATTGAAGAGGTGGGACCACTTCTTCACTCATTTTATGAAAGCAGTATTACCCCAATACTAAGGCCAGACAATGACACTACAAGAAAACTACAGACCAATGTCCCTTCTGAACACTGACACAAAAAAGCCAACAACACACACTTAACAATGGGGATACGTTCTCAGAAATGCATCACTAGCCAATCTGTCATTGTGCAAACGCCACAGAGTGGAGCGTCGTAACCCTAGGAGGTACAGCCACTAGCAGGGCGAGGCTGTAACGCATAGCCCCTATGTCCCTCCTGCGACCATCGTCATATGGGCAGCTCTTCAGTGAAGGAAACGTGGAACATGACTGTACTGGCAAGCTGAACTCAGCAGCATTTTAAAAGGGTTTATATGATAACCAAGGGAGTTTTATTACTAAAATGCAAAGACGATTCAACATACAAAAATCCGTCATTGTAAAACACCACATTAACAGAACTAAGGAAACAAATCACGTGACATCTCGATTGATTCAGAGAAAGCGTCTGATAATATTCGACACCACTTCATGATAAGACACACTCAACAAGCCAGGGATAGAAGGAAACTACTTCAACATAATAAAAGCCATATATGAACACCCACAGCCAACAGCATACTCAATGGTGCTCTCAAGTCTCTGGTGCCCTGAGCTGGGTGTGATGGGGCGGGTCTGCTGTATTCTGACTAACAACGAATTGCACTTCCAGGAGGGGGAGTAAGCACCATGGGGTGGGGGTGGGGGTGGGGGCAGTTGTCCAGGAAAGGTACAGGAGGAAGAGATAAGAACAGAGATGAAACAATGGCCACTTGTATTTTGTACCGAACACCCTCCCAGGTAACAGGACGGCATTCTGACAGTGGATTCTGGAAACTTCTCCTTCAGCCCAGCCCCAAGCAGGCAGGGACCCTGCTCACTTCCCTAGGCACACATCCCACCAGAAAAAGTACAGGAGGAAGAGATAAGAACAGAGATGAAACAATGGCCACTTGTATTTTGTACCGAACACCCTCCCAGGTAACAGGACGGCATTCTGACAGTGGATTCTGGAAACTTCTCCTTCAGCCCAGCCCCAAGCAGGCAGGGACCCTGCTCACTTCCCTAGGCACACATCCCACCACACCCCAGCCCCCGGAGAACTCTTTCCAGACACAGCCGCCCTGACTCCAAGCACTGCCCTCTCTACCACGTCTCCCTGAGCCCTGAGGAGGCAGGCTGGACGCCTGGCCCCGGCCCACAGACACACCATTTCCCGGCTCCACCCTGACTGTGCCTCCCAGCTCCTACTCCCTGCTGAGCAGCCAACCTTCTCCACTGAGGAGCTGGACTGCAGCAACAGCTTCTTCCGGAATTCTTCTTTCTTTTCAACCTCTTCATAAATTGGCTGTTTGCCATAGAACTTGCTTGGCTGCCTGGATCTGCCAGCGCTGACAGGTTTCTGGAAACAAAAATGGGCCTCTCAGGCGGCCAGGAGGATGTCTCCCTTCCCCGTGAGGGAACAGAGGCCTGAGGAAGATGAGAAGAGCACAGCCGCCCGGCTGCCACTCTTGGTGCACACACCACTGTGAAAAGGCAGCCAGGCGTCTGTGGGCCTGCACCCTAAGGCACTCCGATGCTGGGAATCCCCGTGTGAGCTGACTAGCAATCCTGGTCCCTTGGGCAGGGGCTTGAGATTGTCTCTGGGGAAGACCATCCTGAGTCCTAGAAAAGACTACCTGGTTAAAAGTGAGAATAAGGTCCAGCGATGGTTGAGCAGTAACACAACTAGAACTGGACAGGAGAGGTTCTGCGTTCTCTTCCCAGAACCTCCCTGACCATGCTGGGTATATACTCATGCCCATGATCTGGGCTGGTTGATTCTGAGGGTGGGTTGTGACACAGGGACCCTGCTGAGGGCATCTCTCTGTCCCTGTCTCTGTGTCCCTATCTCCCTCTCTAAGGAGGAAATACATAAACTTAAGGAAAAAAGATGATGGGGATAGTATGCCATGTACAGCCATTGCTCTAGGAAATCTGAGCACGCTAGCAAACCCCAATACTTCAAAGATGATCTAAGCAGCTCATAAGAATATAAAGCGTGCACCTCTTACAGCAGAATTCTGTCCTAGCAGCTCGTGTTGGATTTAGGTGTAGACTGCCCTACACCTGGCAAGCACTGTGTTTTAGGGGAAGGTGGTGTTTCTCATTCGAGCCTCAGCTCCCAGAAACAGGACTCAGACTTCAACTGCAGAAACATCTTGCTTGGCTCCTCCTCGTCCCACCCAAGAGACTATACTGTCCTCACTGTCTGGATGCTGTACCCTTTGCTGAAAGTTCCAGACCGAGCCATGCCCTGCAAGTGGGGAGAGAGCAGCTCCTCTTGCCCTCTCTCTACTCCTAAGTGGAACCGTCAGTCAATCTTGGAAGGATTAGTCCTAGGGCAGAGATGAGGGCTCAGAGGAGGATAAAAGTGTTTTGCCTTTGCCTGCATCTGGGTCTCAGACCTTTGTAGTCTGGTCTCTGGGGAGGTGGGACTCACTGGGGAAGGTTTGGAGGTACCGTGACACCTCTCTGCCCATGGGCCAGGGCCTGGTGACTGGAGTCTGAGAACTGAGAATGTAGCCCAAGAGCTAACCTTAACTTTGGGCTTTAGGAGTTGTATTCCCTTTGGGTCCTGTCTCTAAGGCCTTCTTGGGTCCTCATATTGGCCATGCTTCCAAAGGGATCATGCTCAGGCCTAGGGCAGCAGAGCACATTAGAAATGGTGGGACTAAAACAAAGAGGCCCCCTGCCTGGGCCTGCAATGCACAAAACAAATGAGTTGACAGAATTAAGTGCAAAAAGCACCAGCTGAGAAAACACACACATGCAACAAACAAGCATGGGGTAAGTATGCGGGCAGCCTCCTGGCCGAGTACTCACTTCCACCTGCTGGGACTCATGCCAGTCAGACTCCTTGTCCCTTGACCCTCTCATCACTGGTGGAGCCGACACTAGGTTCCGCCTCAGGGTGGCATTGGCCGTGGTCCAGGCGCCAGGGCCCAGGTGCTTCACAGGGACCTTGTGTACCCACTTCTCCATGCAGGGTTTGGTGGGCCGGTGGTCCTCAGGCCGGCAGTCATCCACTACTTGCACCTGTGCCAGGGAGAAAGTAGCCCCGAGGCATTGCAATGTTCTAGAGGGAAATTCAGGGTCTCCCTAGCCCAATGCCAACACAGCCCCAGAGCTTGCTTCCCAGAAACCTAGTACCTGTAACAAGGCATCAGATCAGAGTTGACAACCCCATCCCTGGGCCAACCATGGGCAGGGTACTGCTCCCATGAGGAACTCAGTCTCCCATCTGTGAGATGGGTGGCAGTGTTTTCAATCTTAAGCTGAGCTGTTCTGGGGGAGGCCCCACACGGGCTCTTTCCCCCTACAGTAGCCTCCAAGCATCTCTCCCCACAGCATTCAGATAACCATGGGTGAATAACTCCTAGAGTCTCTCCAGCTGTAATCTGCTACGATGTGGTAGCTGGGAAACTGTACAGCAGTCCCAAGTCCCTACCACGAGCCCAGTGAGCCCAGCACAGTAACATGTTGCACAATGGGTAAAATGTGAACTGCCTCCTGGGAGAGTCATCTGCTCAAGAGGACAGGATGAGCACCACCAGGCTCCACAGTCAGGCTGCCCCTCCTTGGCTGTGAAACCATAGGCAAGGAGCTTAACCTCTCTGTGCCTCAGTTTTCTTTCTTTCTTTTTTTTTGTTTTCAAACCTTACATCTTAGGTCTGTCACTTGATCTTTCTGAGCCTCGGTTTTCTTTCTTTCTTTTTTTTTTTTTTTTTGGAGAGGTTTTTGCTATAGGGCGCGTGCACTTGCCAGAAAGACAGAGAGAGACATAGAGACAGGAAGCGAGAAATCATCCCCTAGGGGGGATGGCCACGCCGCAATCCCCTCTCCTCCATTTTCCTCTCGGGATCTTGGGCACGCATGCACACACGCCCAGCGTGAGTTTTAAGCCACTGGGTCCGGGACTCGAATTGCGGTCGACTAGGTGGGAGTCCAGCAACATAGCCATTACGCTAACTGCTGGTCCCAGTTTTCTCACTTTTCAAATGACAATAATTATAGGAACCACCACCTACGTAGGGGGCTCCCAGCTCCTCCCAAAACAAGTCTCCACTGTCCTCTCTACTTCCTGGGGTACTCCCTCCCCTCCATGCCCTACCTAATCCTGGCCCACAGCTGGGTGAAAGGTGAGAGGAGAGAGTGCACTGGTTGCCCATACCTTCTTGGGCTGCAAGGGCAAAGGACTCTCAGAGGCGTTGAAACTCAAGATGGGCTTGAGCAAGTTGATGTTCCAGAAGAGGATCTCTCCGTTGTAAGAGGAAGTCCCAATGAACTGGTTCTGGTACTTGGCCATGCTCAGGATGTCTTCTGAGTGGAAGGTCTGCCATTGGTAGCACAAGAGCACTGGCTTGGTCTTGTGGAACCTGTGCACATGGCCAGAGGCAGAGGGCTGAAAGCTTGACAATGATGTAGAAACAATAGAAATTCACTTCCGTTGTTTCTGCTACAGCAGGTGAATGGGCCAAGATGCTCCCCCACTGAACGAGGTGCTCCAGGAAGACGAAGACGCCATATTCTCATATATACCCATCCCCGGCACCTAGCAACAAGCCTAGGACGTGTTAACCTTGATGACTGATGAATGAATGCGGGGATGACCAGACAAAGCAATGGTCTTCACCCACCACTAATTTCCTGCTTGGTGTTCCAGCCAATGGGAAAGCTAGGAATGGAGGAAACTCATCTGGAGCAGAGAGAATATTTAGCTACCCTCACCTAGTTACCACACACACTCACTACTCACATGAAATAAGTGATTCTCCTATTCCATCCTGTCATGTAGAATACTTGGTTCATATGGACAATCCCACTAACCTGTTGAAGATGGGGGGAAAAAAAAAGAACAGAACAGAACCTTAGGGGCCAGATGGTGGCTCAGAAGTACAATGCAAGAATTCCAAGTTTGTATCCGGGGACCTCCCTGAGTGCACCAGGCACAGGCATAATGAGGCTGGCTGAACCTGGAGGTGGATCCAGCATTGAGACCATGTTGAGGGTACTGTCTCTCTGTTTCTCTCACTCATGGAAATAAACTTCATAATGAGAGAGAAAGAAACAAATAAAAACTCTAAAGCTCCTCAGAGAAAATAGCTCTGGGCCCGAGTGTCCCCCTGAAGGTACCAAGCAAAAGGTTGAACTTCCCAGTGATGACGATGAGAGGTGGTGGCACCAGGGACCTTCCAGGGTGCTTTCGCATCTGTCTCACTGACGGACTCGGGAGGCAGGCAGGGTAGGTATCCATGTTCACTTGAGAGAAGGGATAGCCGGGAGAAGACAAGTGAACTGGCCGAGGTCAACTTACTACTGAGTAATGGGTTCCGGGCCAGCACTCAGGCTCCTGGCTTCTTAGCCAAGTACTCTTTCTGAGCTGGGTAAATGATTATGTCATAAGAGTGAAGTCCCAAAGTGAGGCTTCTGGTTTTGCTCCTTGTCACACCCACAAACTGTCCCAGCAATACTGTCAGACCTTTCCCAAATAGGGGTGAGCATGGGTGACCTCACTGCTAGAAATGCAGTCCAAAGTGCCCATGTGTGGGATACGAAGTACTGGCAAATCCGAAGAGCGGGAGTCTCCAACACGGTGAAAACCTTATTGAGCGAGGCACCATGACCTATCTTTCTCATGCATGAGAACACAAAGGCCCAGGGAGGTTGGCAGTCAGGCAGGCTCTGCTGCACAGCCTTTCAGGGAGGTAAAACAGTGCATCCCAGAGTCCCTTGAGCTGTGCCCTGGTCTCGAGAGGCCCTCCCTGGCCCCAGCTGGCAGACCAGACCAACCTCCAGTTGGTCCGGGTTGGGGAAGGTCAGCAGGCACTCGCCGATGTTGTAGTTCCACATCTTCACTGTGCCATCACGCAGTCCTGTGAGCAGGCACCGCTCCGACTCATCCAGGGCCATGGCTGTCAGCTCCATGAGCTTGGCACCAGACACGGAGAACTCCATCGTCTTCTTGCCCGTCACAATCTCCCACACACTCACCATGCCCTCCTGGCAGCCACTTACTACCTGCAGGGGAGCACACGGACTGTAGAGAGGAGAGTGCCTCCACTCCCAAAGGGGGCTCCAGCCTATGATGGCTGGGCTAGGGCCCCCTGACCATGCACTGGGCAAACAGACTTCCAGGGCCCCCAAAGCCACTCTGGAAGTAGGTCTTCCTATGCTCTGTACCACTGTGCAGCGTAAACTGACATTGCCCCTTTAGAAGGAACCAATTTAGTAAAGTCTCTGATGCAGAGAAAATTATCCCTAATTCAGAAAAGATATTTACTGAAGCATCATTATTCATGAGAGAAGAAAGAAGAAAAAAAAAAAAAAAAAAAAACAGGAAATAATGTCCCCTAAGTAGGGCAATGCTGAGTTAAGAACGGTCACATCACTCAGTGAGACATTTGCTGCCCATATGACTTAAAATGCAGCAGTGGCAGATGGACTATTTCAGACCAACCTTCCTACTAAGAACATCTAGAAAAGCTGGGGGAAGTTTAAAAATGGAACAAATTAAAATCTCTCTTTGAAGGGACAACCAGGTGCCCACATAGTCAACTGTGGTTTAAGTCCCAGACCCAGCAGCTTAAAACTCACACCAGGCACATATGTGTGCATGCCCAAGACCCCCAGAGGAGAAGGGAGGAGAAGAGATTGCGACATAGCCATCTCCCTGGAGGTTGATTCCTCCCTGTCTGTCTGTCCAACCAGCACAAGTGCCCTATAACAAAAATCTCTAAAAACAAAGCAAAACCAATCTCTGTGAAGGCACTGAAGAGTACCAAGGCAGTGGGGAATGGTGGCACCAGTAGCCAGAACAAAAGGGGAGTTTGTGCAGCCACAGCCCCCCCCTGCTGCGGATGCAGCCCACCCTGTCCAGAGCCTGGGTCAGGCAAGCAGTTCCAATGGGAGTGGGCACAGACCCTGGCATATCCTCAGAAACAATTCCATATGCCAAGCTGCCCCGCCCAATCTACGTATCTCCTCCTGGGGCCAGGGTGCTTCCTGGACCTCTCTCTCTTCCCACAATGGACAAGGCAGTGCCCGAGAACAGCTTCCACCCTGGAGAGCACATCTAAGTGGCACTCATCCCCACATAAAGGAAGCTGCCTATTCGGAGCTCAGGGGGCTCAGAGAAGTTAGATGACCTGAGGACCAGCTGGTGGAGCTCAGATCTGATCTCACGCTAACGAGTCTCCAGGGCTGCTTTTCAATCTATATTCTGGGCCCCAGCACCACCATCGAAGCTGTACGAGTTCCCAATGGGCAGGCTGGCCCCACAGCCTAGTGGTTAAGGGAGTCAGAGCCCACATGACCAACCACATGGTTTGAATCCTGTCCAGTAGCTTGAGAAACACACCAAACACGTGTGCATGTGTGACCAAGATCCCAATAGGATGAAGAAATGAAAAAGAAATTGCAGTGTGACCATACCCCACCGAGGGGTGCTTCCTTTCCTCCCCCTCTCTGTCTCTCTGTCTCTCTCTCTCTTTCAAGCACACATACCCTCTGGCAAAAAAAAATTAAAGTTTCCAATAGGATGCATACTTGGGCATATGGAGAGGCCTTGCCAGCCTCCGAGGTGAGCCTGGTCCACTCACCTGCTTAAAAATCTTGCTGTAGAGGATGGCACACAGGGAGGAACTGTGAGTTGTGAGCTTCCCTGCTTTCATGGGCCCCTGGGCCTCCAAGTACCCGGTTAGGATTCCAATCTGCAGAAGAGGAAGGAGGCAGACAGTTGGGCAGTCAGAGAGCTCTGCCATCAGCGACTGATGCCTCTCAGTGACTGGCCCTGGGGAGTAACTTCCAATACATGAAGCATCAGGACGAGCCTGACTACACACAGGCCTGAGCCCACTGTGGCTCCCAGGCTTCTCAGTGGGCCTGCTGGTACTACTCACCCTACTCTGTGGTCTCTACTTCCTAGGATTGAGTCTCCCAAACTTAGAACCCCAAAGTTCAAGGTCCCTCTCACCTTACTTCAGAAAAGCTAAAACCTCAATCAGGTGCCCCCTCTAGGAAGCCTTCTCTGACTATTCCTGCCCTGGGCTAGACTCCGTGAAGCATCTAACATACAACCCTACCATAACACATAGCACTTTCTGCTGAAATGATCTGCCATGCTCTACCTGCAGCTGTGAACCCACTCCCTCCTGGGCCAGCACTCACCGAAAAGGTGCTGCAGATTAGGGTATCATTTTTCTTATGGAAGTAGGCGCTGGTGATGGGGCAGTTGCCCAGGGAAAAATGCCTCCCATAGAAGGACTGGAGGCAGACATAGTCCTGCATGTCCCACACACGGATGTTCTGTGTTTTTTTTTGGAAAGAGGCCAAGAGGCCAAGGGTAGGTCCCCAGGGTGTGGTCGGCACCTGAGGCCGTGTAACTGTCAGTCCTGCAAGCAAGTCCCGAGGCACATCATCCACCACTTCCAACATGCATCCACCTGTTAAGCTCTGCCCCTTCACAGACCAGGACAAAGATGCTCAGTGGCTCAGATAACCCAGGCACACAGCAAACAGGATAGAGCAAGCATGGCCCAGAGCCTCCCCCAGGCTCCCACCTGCTCGGGCAGCTGCCATGACATGGAAGACAAGACAAGGCAGGGCCGCCCACAGCCCAGCCCAGACCCAGCCTTGCTTGAGAAAGCCAGCCTGAGATGGCATCCGAGAGTGGCTGGCAACTCGGCTACCAAAATGGCCTGTCTGCCCCCAAAGTAGATCCTTTCTATTCATCCCCAGTGAAGGAATTCCCTGGAGTGGTCTGTGGACATCCCTTCCGGCTCCCAGGTACCCTCTGCCGATGGCTGCCTGTGAGGGTTCAGCAAGCTCATCCCCATTCCCCACCTGCCCCCAGACTCAGCTCCTCCATCAGCTCCCAGGGCTGCTGGGAAGATCCCGGACAATGGTAAGTGTAGGATGTGTTGGGAAGGCCAGCCTGGGTGACCCTAAAGTCCTTGACAATTGTCCATCTTCTGTGTCCCCAAAAATACAAACTTGTCCCCTGGGAGAGTCCCTGGAGCTGTCAGGGCACATCCCTATGCTGGCTGGGCAGATGAGGCAGAGTCCTAAGCCAGTAGCTAAGCAGGAGCAAAGAGAAGAGGTCCTGAGTAGGGAGCCAAGGCGTTCAAGAAAGGTCCAGGCCCCGACAGCCGGGGCGGCCAAAGAGGGGTCGCCAGTAGAGTTGAGAGGTGCAGGTTTGGGTGGGGGCAAGGAGGGAGGAGCAAGGTTCACCTGTACGGTGTTAGACACCAACTGTTCTCTTACCATCAGTTCTCTAAACCACTACCCATTCATGGATGAGGAGATCGAGGCTCAGAACAGGGAAGGGACTTGCCCTGGGCCACAGTGTCAGAGCCCGAGAACCCAGCTCCAGTGGACTGCTCAGAGTCAGGCTCAGCCTCCACCGGGAGCTGTCGGAGCCGGAGGCTCACGGCTGCCTTCCTGGCAATTCCACCTGGGCACCTTCCTCTAGCCCTCTACTCAGTTGTTGGACGGTGGACAAGGTCACTGCATTCCTCTGGGCCTCAGGCCCCTCCTCAAGGTTGGTCCCTGGGCTGGCTGAGCCGGGTTATTATCCTTAGGACTGGCGTTCTCCCTGAGAAGCAGGAAGTAGCCAGGTGGGTGGCAATGAGGGGCGTGCTCCATGCGGGCGGCACCTTGTCCTTGGAGACGCTGATGAGGATGTTGTTGTTCTTGCTGTTCACAATGATGTGTGTCACTGAGGTCTGATGTCCCTTCATCAGCCACACAGGCCTTTTCGAGACAAGGGGGTTCCACAGGCGGATGAGGGGGTCATACCCACCGGTCACTGGGGTCAAGAAATGGGTTTAGGCCACCCAGAGCTTTCACTGCAGACCTTCTCCCAGGGCCAGAGCTCGGAGGGGTGGGTCACTACACCCCAACGCTCTGCCCCCTCTCCCCTACCCTCCACCAGCAACCTATGCAGAGCCTGTGCCTTCGCACTGCTCCCATCCCCTGGTCCTAGGAGCAGGGACAAGAGTGGAAAGAGAGGAGGCCGGACAGAGGCCAGATGCTAAGGGGCCTTCTGGGCTCTAGTGGCCCCCACACCCCCAGCATCCCTCACCCCAGCTCTGTCCACCCAGCAGCTTCTGGGTGATGTGAAGGTTACTTACCCAGGAAGTTCTTATCTGGGCAGTAATCAAAGCAAAGAATTCCTTTTCTTAAATTCAGCACCGACAACCTGCAATAGCAAAGGGGTTGGGACTGCAGGGCTGGGAGCAGCAGCCTCAGGAGCTCTGAGATGCAGGCTGGGGTACGGGGAGCTGGAGGCAAGGCCACCAGGAGCCCTGAAGAGAAATCACTGCCTCTCCATCCACAGAAAGGAGGGCCCAGAAACCACCCAGGACAGAGTATTGCAGACAAAGCGGATGCTGAAGCCTCAGCTGGGAACCAGCAGCCTGTGGGGGAGGTCCCTGTTCCCAGGAAAATCGGTCCCAAGCAGGAGTCACTCCTCACGCCAGCCAAGCAGCTTGCCTTGTTCCAAGGACCAGCTTGACTTGATTTCCCACTAGCTATACTGAGATGCACATCCTCACACCAAGGAGGCCATGGCTTTTTCATAACAAATCAAGACAAGAGGAGGTGGACCAGTAGGTGGCATGGTGGTTAAGGCAGCTGGATCCCACATGGATGGGTATGTGGTTCAAGTCCCAGACCTGGTGGCTTGAAAATCATTCTGGGCACTTATGCATGCATGCCCAAGATCCCAAGAGGAGAATGGAGAAGGATTTTGTGGCGTGGCCATACCCCCTGGGGGTGGTTTCTTACTTTCTTCTCTCTCTCTCTCTCTCTCTCTCTCTCTTTCTCTCTCTCTTTCTGGCAAGCACACTCACCCAATAGCAAAAAACTAAAATACAAAACAAAACAAAAAAACAGACAAAAAGAGTTTCCAAGGCCAAGGGGGAAAAGCTCCTGGGTGCTGTGGTCTTGCCACGTGCTGGTCCCTGTGCCAGAACCCCTCATACAACCCTCTTGTGAGCCCTGAGCCAGGGAGAAGGACATCAAAAGGAGAAATTGAAGAACCTGCCCAAGGTCACATAGGTAGCAAGCCATAGGGGTCAGGATTCAGATGAAGGGTCGGCGTAGCAGGGAGTGGCAGGAGGCTCAGCACAGAACCCAGGAGGGCCAGGATGACACACACAGGGGTTCCAGGGGGGTCAGGGCCCAGCAGCCCTCCCAGGGCCGTGCCTTTGGCCCTGTTGAGTTCCTAATTCACAGCATCTGGCCTGTCAGCTGTCCTGTTCCTTCAAACAGACCTCACCACAAAGGCCCCTGTTGGAGGGCACCTCGGTCCTCTCAGCCAGCATGCCTGCACTGGACACCCGGGGGCACCTAGCTGACTCTGCCCCCACTCTGCAGGACCCCAGCCAGTGTCTGGGTATCGTCCTGGGTGACCTAGTGGCTCCCCCCCTCCCCCCACGCCCCCACCCCC